TTTTAATCACCATAGTCCATAGTATTTATAAAAAGCATACTTATGTCACAGTCACAACGACTTAATGTGTGACGGCATTCCTAATATCTAATGTTTGTTTTAAGACCACTTTCCTTGTGGATAACAAAAAGGTTTTTGGGACTCATCTCGTGCAAGACATGGTGAAAGATGCACTTCGGTCTTTTGACAGTCCTCCGGTGCTTTCCCCCAAGTAAGTATTTATAAGACGTTTTATACTGATAGTATGTGTGTTTCTTTATAAGCCTGACTTCTCTGTACTCCTCCTTTATAGCCAAAGTATAAAAATCGTTTGGGTTCAAGTCTCCATACAATAACTCAATTATGTTAAAATTAATTCATCTCTGCTACATACTGTTTAGATTAAAACTAAGGTTTTTATGAGGTTGACATCATGTCCAGTAAGAGACCAAAAACTCATAGGAGTTGTCAGACATTTGGTAGTTTGTCTTGGACTCTTTCTTTGTCCAAATCACTGTGTGAGGCAGTCTGGCTTCTCAATGATCTGAGCCTGGATAAAAATCTAAAATGCATATAATTAGTCCTTAAACTGTGCAGTGGTAGAAGCACTGCCATCATGGTACCAACAGAGGCTGAAAAGGATTATGTGCAGAAAGAGTCGTCATTTGAGTTGGGATTTTGAGATTTGAGTCAGTTGTTTTCAGCGGAGGGAAGAAAGGAGGAGACGTTATTTCTTAACAAAGAAACCGGCATGTGTGAAGACTATGGGCGTATGAAATGTATTTTAAGAGCCGCTCAGCCACCGTGGTGGCTTATACCTGCAGTCCCAGCACTTTGGGAGGTGGAGGTAAGAGGATCGTCTGAGCCCAAGAGTTCGAGACCAGCCTGGGCAACATGGCGAGACCTCGTCTCTACAATAAGTCAAAAAATTATCTGGGCATGGTGGCACAAGCCTGTAGTTCCAGCTACTTGGAAGGCTGAAGTGCAAGGGTCACATGAGCCCAGCAGGTCAAGGCTGCGGTGGCTGGGAGCGTGCCACTGCACTTCAGTCTGGGTGACAGAGTGAGACTGTGACTCAAAAACAGAACATTTCAGCGTTTTTACTGACAATGTGTTGAATAAAACACATCATGTCTTATATAAAACTCTGGTAACTTCCTGTCTTAGTTTGGGTTCTCTGGAAGCAGACCTTGAGACTAAGATTCATGTAAGTGTAGTTTAGAAAGTGTTCCCAGGAAAAACCAGCAGGGATGTGAGAAAGTAGGACGTGAAAAGGAAGGAAGCCACAGCAAGGTGCTCTCCACAGAAAGTAGCTTGGGTTCTGTCCTGTAGGGGAGCTCCGGAGACTGTAGGTTACACCTTAGTGTGTCCTTGTCAGGAACAAGGAGCTTGAGAATTTAGTCCCTGCTTCGTCCTTGTTGGGTATATTCCCTATTTCATCAACAGTAAAATCCTCATTTTTGAGCCTGGAGGCTTGGTGTGTTCTGGTCTGACACCTGTCCTGTCTCCTCTCTGACCTCATCTCTTACTGTTCTTGTTCTCACCTTTACTTCGGTCTCACTGGCCTCCTTGCTATTCTTGGGAAGTATCGGCTCCCTCATCCTAGGGTCTTTACACAGCGGGGGAGGATAGGGGATAAACTCCACAAAGTCAGGGCAGGTAGTTTTGGCTGTTAGATGATGGCAACCAAATGTTTTGACTGATGTATCACACGTGCTAGAACAGTGATTTCACATAGTAAGCACACAATAAGTACTTGTTAAATGAATGAATATACAAATGGGAGTTGGTTGGCAAGATAGTTTAGGATGAGACTGGGGAGTCTGGGATGCTTGTGTAAGGTTTGGTCTTTATTTTGTGGTCAGTGAGGATTTATAAGTTTTCAGGAGTGAACTGACATAGTTGCATGTGTATTTTTTTTTTTTTAACAGAAAGCATACCAGTAGTGAGAGGATAATGGAAACAAACTGTTTAGTTAGGCTAATTCAGTTCTACAGGTGAGAGATATTGAGGGATTAAATTCTGGGAGTGTAAAGGAGAAGATAGAACGATTTCAGAGGTAAAATTAATAGGAAGTAGTATCTGTGATTCATTAGGGGAAGAAAAGCGACTAAAAGGTGGAAACTAGGTTGCCTTTTTTGTTTTTTTAAAAAAGACTGATTATGTAAATATATAGTCATGCTCAAGAATCAAACAGTGTAAAAAAAGTGAAATAGTTTTCAGAAGTAACCTGAAATTTCTACCTCTCACATAACTACATTTTGATGGCCACGTTAGATAACTGTGTATAAAGATATGCATGTATATAACTTCGTACAAATGGAATCGTATTCATCAGGTTTTTACCACAAACTTTCTTTTTAAAATTTTTTTAAATTTTTGTTTTTTTTGAGTTGGAGTCTCACTCTGTCGCCCAGGCTAGAGTGCAGTGGCACGCTCCCGGCCACCGCAGCCTCGACCTGCTGGACTCCGGCGATCCTTCCAAGTCACCGAAACCCAGGTGCACGCTACCACACCTGGCTATTTTTATTTTTTGATTTATTTTAGAGACGAGGTCTCACCATGTTGCCCAGGCTGGCCTCGAGGCTGCTGGCTCAGGCAATCCTCTTACCTTGACCTCCCAAAGTGCTGGGATTACAGGCTTGAACCACTGTGCCCGGCCTGAATTTTTTATTTTAAAGATATGGGGTACAATTCAGGGTTAGGTATACAAATGTTCATTAAGAAGGTACCCTTGTTGATGAGGTATCCCCCCCAGCAGTTTCCCGCTACTGCCAATCCCGTGCACCCCCTCCCCAAGAACTTTACTTTTAAATTATATTTTGTGGGTTGCTTTTTAAAACTTCTTAAAGTAAGCAAAAATTCATTTTTATTTTAAAGTTTTTTCTTTTTTTTTTCACTCAAAGATACATAATAGCTTTCTACCTGATGGTAGATCTAACTAATTCTTTTTAATGGCTGCCAAATATTTCATAATAAAAGTTGAATTCTCTAATCCAAAATGCATAGGACCTGAAATGTTTTACGATTTGGGTTTTTTGGATTTTGAAATATTTGTATGAGATTATGAGATAATTATGAGATAATTTGGAAATGGGACCCAAGTCTAAATGTGAAATTCATTTATATTTCATATATACCTTATACACATAGCCTGAAGGTGATTTTGTACCATATTTTTAGTAATTTTGTGCATGAAACAGTTTGAAGCCATCAGAAAGCAAAAGTGTTGCTATATCAAGTCAGGGTTAAAAAAAGTTTTGGATTTTGGGGCTTTTGGGATTAGGAATGTTTATCCTGTATGAAGGTATTCTAAGGAGGGGAATCACTAGGTGGAGGGACCTGTGCAGTTTTAATAAATACTGTCAGTTCTGAAAAGATTGTTAATAGTTTATGTTTCCAAATATATACGAGTACACTTTTTGTACATCCTGACTGGCAGGAGGAGGTAATCATTCCTTTTAATTTTCTTCCCATGTGTTTAGTGAGAAGTGTTAATTCATTGTTATTTTAATTTGAGCCCTTAGTTACAATATCTGAACATTTAGAATTGTTTTTCTATGAACTGCTTATTTATATATTTTGCCCATTGACTTTTATTACGCAACTTACTTTTTTCAGCAAAATGTGTAAGAGCTCCTGTATTATGGAAATTTAATACTCTGTATTAATCTGTAATAGGCATTGCAGATATTTTTTTCTTTAGTGTTT